ACAGACTGCGACGGAATCACCGAGATCTTGATGATGATCTGAAGCCAATAGGAGTGAAGCGGGAGCCGTGTCACATCATCGCCCGATCGACGGATCGATTGGCAATTGATCGACACGGCGATTAACCCCCCCAAATTACGATCATGATTGACGCGATGTATGTTTATTATGGGTCGACTGTGCTGAACCGATGCCAATTAATCTCGATCCACGGTGACCGCACGTGGGTAAAGCCACGTTCACTTTCTTCCATATATATCACGGGCAAATCTATGATCGGTGATGTCGTCGGGTGCACGAATTTATCGCTCCATTTCACCTCACCCCTACTCACCCAGGTGCAGGCGCGGTGAAGTATGGAGACACAGACACACACACGTACACACACACATACGTACACACACACACGTACACACACACGCGTAGACACACACCACCCCCTCCCCCTGTACCTCCGATTTCCCCGCACCTCCGATTTGCACGGTTGGCTACGTACGGCGCGAAAGAAGTTCAACGTACACACACGCACGCATACAGACGCATACGTACAGACATACGCATACTTACAGACATAGAGAGACAAACACACATAGACAGATGAAACCATAAACACATACACCTAGATACACAGAGACAAGACAAAGATCCCCCGTATAGCCTCAAAAGACTGCTGGGGCAAGTGCTGTTAGCGAGCACTTATGAAGGCCGGCACGGCAAACGAGGGGGTGGGTGGCGAACACCACGCCCGGCCGCCTTTGTCTCTCTCGTGGCGATGTTTACTACACACCGTACCAGGTACTCATTTGAGGCTGAGTCGACCTAGGGGGGGGGCAGGACCCGTTCAGATAATCGTCACCGGTATTGGCCGTGAGCGGGAATCAAAGTCGGGTCGCCGGGTTCGTAGCGCAGCGTAGCGCTAACCGTTGCGCCACCGCTCCCCACATTCAGCGACACGCCGCTTGTGTGTGCGTGTGAAATGATCGTGGTTGTAAAATGCGGACCAGGGTCGAGGTAGTGATCATCATCATCATCACGATCCATGGGCAGATAAAGCCCGTAGTAGGTGTCCACTGCACATTTCGTTATTTGTTGTTTCCACTTCCCTCTGTCTTGTGCCAATCTGCCCAAGTGGTGGCCACATCTCTCTGGCACCACTCTCTTATCGTGTCGTCCTCGTCGAGACATTCTCTGTGACGTCTTCCTCTCTTTCCGGTCCATTCCCCTTTTTCCGAGCAACAACAACAACAATAGCACACTTTGAATGTCCCTGTTGTTGTCCATGCTCCTACATATGTATTCAGGCAGTGGCCAGTTTCCTTCTCACCGCTGCCTGAATCATCATCATCATCACCATCATCATCACCATTATCACCATCAGGTCGTCTTCTCCCACTTGCGACCTTTTGCTTACTTCTACGTTTGGGTCACTCTTTGGGTTCAGCAGCAGCAGCAGCAGCAGCATCCTTCCGTGGCAATCCATTTCTCGTGCCAACATCCTATATCTGTCAGTCTTTTTTCAATTTTTAAATGCCCAACTCTCGCAGGCACACCGAGCTGCAACTGAACACGCTTGTTGTCAAGACGTCCCGTTTGGCCTCGTAGCCGATTGGAGGTAGGGATGGAGATGGGGGGGGGAGCAGCGGATCGGCGGCTACCGAAAGCGTGAATCACTCGCGCGCCCCATCCGAGGGCCGCTGCAAACGCGACGCTCCGTCTCAGTGGAGCCGGCGAGTCCAGGGTGCTTCGGGGGGTACAAAACAACAAATGTGAACACTTCTGAGAATGTTTGCGAGGAAATGTGCTGCCTCCACGGCTCAGGGGACCAAACTGGAGAAGATTCCAGGCACGCGTTGACAACGACGGCGAACAAATGGGGGACCTTACGACCTTTTGAAGCTATTAACGTGACATTTGTTATCACGTCACAGTGTTTGTATCCGTTCTTTTGTTTTGCTATTTAAACGATAGTTCCATACAAGTCGTTAACATGTTTTGTTTGAAGCAACCCTGCATTATGTGAGGTCACGGCTGTGAATGACTGCCCTCGCCGCCCCGTACGCCCTCGTCAGTTCGTGCGGAATGACCCGTGCAAATTGACCCGTGCAGAATGAACCGTGCGGATTGACCCGTGCAGAATGACCCGTGCAGAATGACCCGTGCGGAATGGCAGGGGACATAGACAGCCGTGGAGGCGTTTCGCACCGCGGCCCTCGGACAATCCGCATTGCCCATTGGCGGCCGACAGTTGCCCGAGCTCCGCGGTCCTCTGTGTCTTAAGGTGTTAGCGTACAATTTGACGCGCGGGGGAGGTAACCGGAGCCCCCCCCCCCCCCCCCCACCATCCGCCAGAGAAAACCCACGCGTGTGCGAGGGAGAAACGCTCTATCCCCGTGCTCATAGCACTGGTGGAGTTCGCACTTTGCTCGACTGCATTCGCCTGGCGAGCCGGGGGTCTGGCTCCTCCCCGACTCTGCGGGCGATGCCACCCGCCCCGACTGGACACCTGTGAAACGCAAAGAGCTTCATAGCTCATCGGATTCCTCCTCTTTAAATACAGATTCTGATTCTGAGTTTTGGTCACAGGCGGAGAGACGGTGAGGAGGCGTTTCGGTTCGGAGCGTCCCTCGTGCCAAGACGCCGCCACATCCGTGCTGATCAGTGACACGTGGGGACCATCGGCTACACTCAGTGGCACTGAGTGAGACTCGGGCACACTCGGTGACGCTCACACTCAGTGACACTCAGTGGTGCTCGTGTGCGCCACACGCCGACGCGTTCGAGCTCGCCGTGAAACTCCTCCTGCACACGTGGGGCACGCACTCTGCAAACCGTGAGTTCAAAAAACCAAAACCATCAAACATCGTACTAAGCCGTGATCTATCCACTGCTGGATGAAGGTTCCCACCCCTCCCCACCCCTCCCCACCCCTCCGCACCCCAACGCCGTGTGGCCATCCCGCACGTGTCCTACGAGACCGCTACGATCCATCCATCTCGTCTCTCCCGCGGGGCGTGAGCCGATTTCATCTCAAATAATCTCTCATCGTCGTCGTCGTCGTCACAACCGTCAGCCACCTCGCTCCTCCGCGTCATGTGCCACTGGACATCTGTGGGGCCAGAAAGAGCATCGTGGCTCATCGGGTTCTTCCAACCTAAATAAAGATTCTGGAAAGGGCGCTTTATTAATTCCGAAATAGAATAGAAAATTCGATCGGTTAACTCGCTTCCATCTCCGCCGTGCCTGGTCTTTCCCCCGCCAGACCCCTCCGCCCCCCCTCCCCATCTCTCGCGTCCCCATCCTTTGGCTGCGATTCCGTCACCAGTCTCGCCCATGGCCCATGGGGCCGCTTGTCAGCCCCGCGATGCGTCGTGGTGGCCAGGCCCCACGCGCGTCGTTTTCCCGTCACAGTCCGTATCAAAAACAAAGGACGAGGCGCCGTGGTTTTTTGCTCTTGCTGTTGTTGTTGTTCATAAGCAACCCTCGAGAAATGAGGCTCTAACGCACACCTGGGGCTATTCGCGATAGCGACCCTGCAGACTGCGGATTCTGTAAACGTCACAAAGAAAAGCCACGCGCGTGTCACAGCGCAGCCACGGGCGCGCGTCGCGGTGTCGTGAGCCACCGTGACGGACTCGACCCGAAGTAGGGAACGTCGAAGCGGTACAAGCATCGGGGAGACAAAGGCGGTCGGGCGTGTGTGGTGCTGCCCCCGCTACACTGTGTCGTGTGCCGAGCGGCACCGGCCTTAATAGGCGCTCGCTGACACATTCGGTTGCAAATCGTCTACACGGCTACACGAAACATCTGGTGCTGCTGCTGCTGGCAGTGGTGCACAAACAACAACAACAACAAGTCAACACGTTCGTCAACAATAACAACACTGTGTGCCGTTGCCTAAAAAGGAAACAAACATATACAAGAGGCGACGTTTCGGCCAATGGGCCTTCTTCATAGCACATACATAGAGAGCCAGAGTGGACGATAAGACTTGCCGGCTGCACGTGCTTACACCATGGGACCCCGATGAGAGTTACACTTTTGAAGCATGGCCTCTCTCTGTACCTGCTATGTGAAGTAGGGCCATTGCTCGAAACGTCGCCTATTATATATATACAGCGCACGGCTAGACGGTGGGTGACCGCGTGCGTCCCTGGGTGTTGAGTCTGCAGGGGCCCCCCCCCCCCCCCCCATGCCGGCACTGCTCGACTCAATTGGTGCTGCTCGTGCTGCTGATGCTGCTGCTGTTGCCACATGAGAACGTTGCTGCTGCTGCTGTTGCTGCTGCTGCTGTTGCTACACGAGAACGTTGCTCCTGCTGTTGCTGCTGCTGTTGTCACACGAGAACGTTGCTGCTGCTCGTGCTGCTGCTGCTGCTGTTGCCACACGAGAACGTTGCTGCTGCTGATGCTGCTGCTGCTGTTGTCACACGAGAACGTTGCTGCTGCTCGTGCTGCTGCTGCTGTTGCCACACGAGAACGTTGCTGCTGCTCGTGCTGCTGCTGCTGTTGCCACACGAGAACGTTGCTGCTGCTCGTGCTGCTGCTGCTGTTGCCACACGAGAACGTTGCTGCTGCTGATGCTGCTGCTGCTGTTGTCACACGAGAACGTTGCTGCTGCTCGTGCTGCTGCTGTTGCCACACGAGAACGTTGCTGCTGCTCGTGCTGCTGCTGCTGTTGCCACACGAGAACGTTGCTGCTGCTGATGCTGCTGCTGCTGTTGTCACACGAGAACGTTGCTGCTGCTGATGCTGCTGCTGCTGTTGTCACACGAGAACGTTGCTGCTGCTCGTGCTGCTGCTGCTGTTGCCACACGAGAACGTTGCTGCTGCTGCTGTTGCCACACGAGAACGTTGCTGCTGCTGCTGCTGCTGCTGTTGCCACACGAGAACGTTGCTGCTGCTGCTGCTGCTGTTGCCACACGAGAACGTTGCTGCTGCTGATGCTGCTGCTGCTGTTGCCACACGAGAACGTTGCTGCTGCTCGTGCTGCTGCTGCTGTTGCCACACGAGAACGTTGCTGCTGCTGCTGCTGTTGCCACACGAGAACGTTGCTGCTGCTGCTGCTGTTGCCACACGAGAACGTTGCTGCTGCTGCTGTTGCCACACGAGAACGTTGCTGCTGCTGCTGCTGTTGTCACACGAGAACGTTGCTGCTGCTCGTGCTGCTGCTGCTGATGCTGCTGCTGCTGTTGCCACACGAGAACGTTGCTGCTGCTCGTGCTGCTGCTGCTGTTGCCACACGAGAACGTTGCTGCTGCTGCTGTTGCCACACGAGAACGTTGCTGCTGCTGCTGTTGCCACACGAGAACGTTGCTGCTGCTGATGCTGCTGCTGCTGCTGTTGCCACACGAGAACGTTGCTGCTGCTGCTCATGTCGCTGTCGCTTCTGCTTCTAAGTGGTGCCAAATGCCCCCCTCTGCTGCAGCTGTAGCAGCCGCTGATGGTCTCGTTGGCTTTTGGTAATGTTGTTGTTGTTGCTGTTGTTGTTGTTGCTGTTATTGTTGTTGGTGATGTTGTTGCTGTTGTTGCTGTTATTGTTGTTGCTGTCATTGTTGTTGCTGTTATTGTTGTTGCTGCTGTTGTTGCTGTTATTGTTGTTATTGTTGCTGTTGCTGCTGCCGCTGCTGGTTTTCCCGATGCTGTTGCCCGTCGCTACGAATGCCCGACGCCAGAGTGTCTTCCGGCAACGCTGCGTCCAATCAATATTGCTCCACCTCCTGCTGCTGCTGCACATATCGCGAGTGGTGGTGTCGACCCATCATCACGACCCCTCCGCCGCCGCCCCGAGACCGCCCCGAGGCGGCGGACCGCGAGCTGTGAGCCCGCGAGCCGGCGGCGCGCCTCTGCGCGAGGTTCTGCGAGATGGAGCGCTGCAGGTTGCGGTGGGACGACGCGGACGACGCGGACGACGCCGCTGGACGGCAGCCGACCGCGGGCGAGGGGTTGACCGCGGCGGTGGCGGCGGTGGTGGTGGACGCGGCGGCGTGATCGTCCGTGGCGGACGTCGAGGACGAGACGGAGGAGGGCGACACGGCGCAGGCCACCCACGGGTGACGCAGCGCCTGGGCGGCCGAGAGGCGCTCGGTCGGCTCCACCTTCAGCAAGCCGTCGACGAAGTCCTTGGCCACGTTGGAGACGCTGGGCCAAGGCTGAGGGTAGAGATGGGACAAGGTGTGTGTGTGTGTCTGTGTGTGTCTCTGTGTGTGTCTGCGCGTGTGTGTGTTGAACTTCTTTCGCACCGTACGTAGCCAACCGTGCTCATCGGTGGTGCGGGGGAAGGACAACAAACTGGACACTGGACAGGATTATAGAGACAAAGAGAAAGGTCCCTGCCCTTCGCCGAATAGCATTTTTCATTTGTTGAGGCAAGTGCTGTTTTGGTCTCTTTATATAAATATATTTTTTATTTACATAAATATTAAATTATTTCAATGTTTTTATGTTTGTATTTATATGTTTTATTGATATAAATAAAACATATATTTATATATAAAAATAGATATTTTAATTTATATATAAAAGTATATAAATACAATTACATATACTTATACAAATATTATATTTGTATTTATTTATAAATATATATTAACACAAAAAGAGATTTCGCATAGGTTAGAACATCGCGTTTGCAGGAGTGTCCAGGGTGGCTATTGACACACACATTGCAAAGACATGTGTACACACACACCACAAACACAACACACCACACACAACACACACACCACACACACAACACACCATGAACACAACACACACACACCACACACACTCACACCACACACCACACACACCACACTACACACCACACACACAACACACACACACACCACACACACCGCACACACACGCCACACACACACAACACACACCACACACACACACACCACACACACAACACACACACACCACACACAACACACACATACCGCACACACACACCACACACACCACACACTACACACACCACACACACACCACACACACACACCACACACACCACACACACCACACACACACCACACACACACCACACACACCAGACACACATACACACACAACACACACACCACACAAACACACCACACACACACCACACACACACACCACACACACCACACACACCACACACACACATCACACACCACACACACCACACACACACCACACACACACCACACACACACACACAAGACACACACCCCACACACACCACACACACCATACACATACACCACACACACCACACACACACACCACACACAGGGGAGGAGAAGGGGGTAGGGAGGGAGGAGTGGGGAGGGAGGTGAGGGAGGGAGGAGTGGGGATGGAGGTGAGGGAGGGAGGTGAGGGAGGGAGGTGAGGGAGGGAGGTGAGGGAGGGAGGGAGGAGTGGGGAGGGAGGTAAGGGAGGGAGGAGTGGGGATGGAGGTGAGGGAGGGAGGGAGGAGTGGGGATGGAGGTGAGGGAGGGAGGGAGGAGTGGGGATGGAGGTGAGGGAGGGAGGTGAGGGAGGGGAGGGAGGGAGGTGAGGGAGGGAGGTGAGGGAGGGAGGGAGGAGTGGGGATGGAGGTGAGGGAGGGAGGAGCAGTCTGGGGGGGGGTCGGAAAGAATTGTGCAAAGTGTGGTGCTGGGTAGGTGGAGGACCCCGATCGATGAGTAGTAGATTGTGTGTGGGGTATGTGTGTATTGTTTGGTGTGTGTGTGTGGTGTGTGTGGTGTGTGGTGTGTGTGTGTGGTGTGTGTGTGTGTGGTGTGTGTGGTGTGTGTGTGTGATGTGTGTGTGTGTCTGTGGTGTGTGTGTGTGGTGTGTGTGTGTGGTGTGGGTGTGTAGTGTGTGTGTGTGGTGTGTGTGGGGTGTGTGTGGTGTGTGTGTGTGGTGTGTGTGGTGTGTGTGGTGTGGTGTGTCTGTGGGGTGTGTCTGGTGTGTGTGGTGTATGGTGTGTGCGTGTGGTGTGCGTGGTGTGTGTGGTGTGTGTGGTGTGGGTGTGTGGTGTGTGTGTGTGGTGTGTGTGGTGTGTGTGGTGTGTGTGTGTGATGTGTGTGTGGTGTGTGGTGTGTGCGTGTGGTGTGTGTGGTGTGGTGTGTGTGTGTGTGTGGTGTGTGTGGTGTGTGGTGTGTGCGTGTGGTGTGTGTGTGTGGTGTGTGGTGTGTGCGTGTGGTGTGTGTGGTGTGTGTGTGTGGTGTGTGTGGTGTGTGCGTGTGGTGTGTGGTGTGTGTGGTGTGTGTGTGTGGTGTGTGTGGTGTGTGCATGTGGTGTGTGGTGTGTGTGGTGTGTGTGTGTGTGGTGTGTGTGGTGTGTGCGTGTGGTGTGTGGTGTGTGTGGTGTGTGTGTGTGGTGTGTGTGTGTGATGTTTGCGTGACATCTTCTCCCGTTCGCACGCGACGACCGTGGGCGCGCGTGCCGGGGGTCAGAGCGCGTGGCACGCGATGTGTGGGGTGGGGTGGGGGGAGGTGGAAACGAGGAAGAAGGTGGGGGGGGGGGTGCACGTGTACAGGTGTCACTGTGTACAGGTGGGACTGTGTGACAGTGTGCAGGGGTGAGAGTGTACAGGTGTCACTGGGTGCAGGTGTGACTGCGTGCAGGGGTCACTGACAGTGTACAGGTGTACAGGTGTGACAGTGTACAGGTGTGACAGTGTACAGGTGTGACTATGACTCACGGGCGGATATAGAAACTTCACAAGGATGGAGGGGGGGGGTTGGGGGGGGCGCTCTCAAAATGCCAGGATGTATAAATAAGTCCCGAGATCAGCAACCTTAAATAAACATGGGCTGTTTATTGTCGCGTAACATCAATGAAACACCGATTTGTGGGGCGGGGGGGGTCTCTCTCAAGGGGGGTGATTGCCCCCCCCCCAAATCGCCCACCCTCTCCGCTCCTGCTCCGAGGTGGGGGGGGGGGGGCTCGGGGGGGGGGGGGCAGGGATGAAAGGGGAGGAGGGAGCAGGGGGGGGTCACTGCGACTTGTTCGCGTGACAGCGCCACACCTCGCGCGTCACGGCACCTGCCGCCTCTGACGTCACTGCCAGGTGAGACCAGGTGCCGCGGGGCCCGAGGGAGGGGGTGCGGGGGATGGAGGAATTTAAGGTGGGGGCGAGGGGGGTGAGGGGAGTGGGTGGAGGGGGGAGCTTTGATTTGCTGTTGAACTGGCGCGAGACAATCACATCATTTAAAAGTACAGTGGCTGCAGACACAGATGAAGATCCTCCGTGTAGCCTTAACAGAGTGTCGGGGGTAAGTGCTGTTAGCGAGCACCTATGAAGGGTGGGTGGATGACAAACACCACACCCAGCCGCCTTTGTCTCCCCAGTGGCGACGTTTACACACCGCACCAGATACTCATTTGAGGCTGAGTCGACCTAGGTGAGGACTCAGGACCGGGAATCGAACTCGGGTCGACGGGTTCGTAGCGTAGTGCGCTAACCGCTACACATACACTCCCAGGACCTATACAAACACACACGTGCTCAGGGCTATTAATACAGATCAGAAGAGTTCGTACGGTGGTCTATCGCTGTTGACAGGGTAACTCTTCGTACGGCTGTTTAGAAAAACTTGGGGTCATGATAAGACATACTTCAAAATGTATTTCTCATCAGGCCCCAAATGATGCGAACAAATGATTTACACCTATTACGTAAACAAATGATGTATAAACAATGATGTAAACATACTCTTTGGTTCTTTCGGTAAAGTCACGTAGATGTTAAATGAAATAAATTATACAGTACCTACATGCCTTTACCGAAAGAACCAAAGAGTATGGATCCCTGCAGTCACGAAAACTTCAAATCGAGAATGATGTAAACAGCTCTTGTCATCAACTCTCTGGCTTCTCGTTGTCTGTGCCATTGCCCAAAACGTTGTCCACTATATTGAAACAAATTCTATTAATTTCGAGGCCACACACGGAAATTAAAGTCTATTATTTGTGTATTTTACCAGGTGTGAGACCACACTGAGCTTCGTAGATCGTTTCAGAAGCGACCTGGACATCACGAATGATCACTCAACGAAGCGGTGGCTTATCATCGTCATCATCACGCGGAAATGTGTCGCAGCCAAATGAATCTAAACGCGTGATGTTCATTCTAAATGTGGCGGGGGGGGGGGGGGCAAACATCGGAGGACCCGGAGTAACAATCCACGCTCTCACTGGGAGAGAGAGAGAGACGCCGCGAACTCCAATATATAGCAGCTGTCAGGGTCGGGATCGGGATCGAACCCACGACCTCCTGTACACCGGGCGAGGGAGATGACATTTCCTAGCCACCGCAGCGCCCCTGCATTTCCACCCCCCCCCCTCACCCTTCTGACCCCCTGCCCCTCGAGCCCCAGCCCCCACCTCCAAACTAAATACCCCCCCCTCTCTCTCCCCTCCTCCCCCCAAATAAATATCCCACCCCCCGGCGCTCACCACACACTCCCCTAATTAAACAGGAAATTAATTAGCTGGTGACTTTGCGAGGAGGTGTTAATCCCTAGGGGGGTAGGACGCTAGGACGCGGTGCTGGTGGTGGTGATGGGGGAGTGGAGGTCGCTGTAGACGCTAACACGAACGAGTCCAGTTCAACACCCGTCCCAGGACGCCTCGAGATCTTCGTGGGAGCAGTGCCACACCACGTGGCACGCACCGCATGCACGCCGCGGCGGTCACGGAGACTGATCGTCACTTCGCCGCGCTGGTCAGTCAGATATCACTCGCCACTGATGTTAGCCGTGGCCGGGAATCACGTTCAGGTCGCATGGTTCATGACGCAGTGTGCGAACCACTATGGCCACCTCTCCCGAGCCTCCCGACTTGTGAAAGATAATCGCTTGATTCATCATATTCGCATGCTGGGCGTGGTGGATATGCGAGTCTGTGGCCCAGGGCTTTGGAAAGCAAGGGTTGGTGGATCACTCAGAGATTTGTAAAACTCTTCGCCTCGCTGCCGTGCAGGGTGACCAGAATATGGCCCTGGATGGGCTTAGAGACCCATATAATCATCTAAGTCTATGGGTCTCAGTGTGAGTCTATGGGTCTCTCTGTTAGTCCATGGGTTTCTCTGAGTCTGTGGGTCTCTGTGTTATTCTGTGGGTATCTGTGTTAGTCTGTGGGTCTAAGTGTGAATCTATGTGTCTCTATGTGAGTCTGTGGGTCTCTATGTGAGTCTGTGGGTCTCTTTGTTAGTCTGTGGGTCTCAGTGTGAGTCTATGGGTCTCTGTGTGAGTCTGTGGGTCTCTTTGTGAGTCCGTGGGTCTCTTTGTTAGTCTGTGGGTCTCTGTGTGAGTTTGTGGATCTCTCTGTGAGTCTATGGGTCTCCATAGCCCCCCCTGTCCATGTTCAAATCCAGGCTAAAGACCTCTTCTCTTCTGCCTATGACTGCCTGGCTCTCCCCCTCCACAACACATCGGTCCACTGCTTCTGTACAGCGACCTGATAGCCCCTCCCATTCAGACGTCATCGTGATGATGATGATCATCATGAACTACGATTAATCCACTACTAGATGATGATACACGTTATATTGTGCTCCAGTAAGGGGGCGAGGAGACAGGCGGGGGGAGGTGGGGGGGAGGGAGGGGCAGATGGGCCACAGGGACAGAAGGTCACGGAGGACGCAAGTTGATGCGTGACCTTGCGGGCTGAAGAAGGGCAGAGGAGGGTTGGCTTGGGGACGATGTGGAGGAGTCTAGTTGGGGGGGGGGGGGTCTCTTGTCGCGGCCCGGGACCCCCAGGCAAGACGGGACTTGTTCCTGTCCCTCATTTAATTGGGAGCCACGCTCGCTGGAGCGACCCCGAAGGCAACATTCTCATCAAAGAGGAACTCATCCGCACCTCTCTCACGCTCCCCACCACCAGCACCACCAGCACCGCGACACCATGCGAACATGGACCCATTACTCAGCAGGGTTCATAATGTTTGTGTCAGATCACTCAGCCGGCACCGCTGATGAGCTGGGTTTGAACCCGGATTCCAGTCGCCCGTGATCCCAGGTGTAGCGAGATCATGGTCTCAGCCAATGACTGCGTAAACTGAACGCGATGTTGAGAATTGCGTCCTTCGCTGTGGGCAAGGCCCTTGGACAGGGATCTCCGGAGTAGTTCTGCGATACATGCGTCCGCAGGCCGTTCTCTAACGCGGGTCAATTCGCGAGCTGCGACGATTAACAGCATCACGGTGGCCGGGATATGTTAACTACCTCGCCTGGTGCGCAGGAGGTCGTGGGTTCGATCCCTACCCAGACGCCTGCTGCTGTATATTTGGAGTTTGCGTGTCTCTCTCTCTCTTATCATCATCACGGTGGCTGGGAGATGTTAACTATCTTGCCTGGTGCACAGGAGGTCGTGCGGTCGATCCCGACCCAAACGCCTGCCGTATATTTGGAGTTTGCGTGTCTTTCTCTCTCTCTCCCCGTGGTCGCGTGGGTTTTCCTCCGGTTTCTTTTCCTCCACGTTTAGAGTCAACATCACGCGTTTAGAGTATCTGGCTGTTATAAGTTCCCACGTGATGATAAGCTACTTTGTGTACCGCATTCTGCTGGCGAGCCAGGGAATAAACACATTACGTATATATATCGATATATTTACCTGAATCTATCGGGCGCCACGGTGGCGAGATGTTAACTACCTCGCCTGGTGTACAGGCGAGGTAGTTAACATCATAGGTTTGATCTTGACCCTGACGCCCGCTGCATATTTGGAGTTTGCATGTCTCTCTCCCTGTGGTCGCGTGGATTTTTCTCCGGGTCCTCCGGTTTTCCCTGCACATTTAGAATCAACTTCACCAAGCGTTTCGCGTCTTTGGCTGATACTATAACTTTCAACGTGACAAACCACTTCGTTGAGCTATCATTAGTGGCCAGGTTGCGTCTGTAAAAGAGCTACGTAGCTCAGTGGCACCTTACCTGGTAAAATAGAAAATAGTTTAAGTTTTAGTTCAACTCGTTGTGAAGGACACGCGGCCTGAGCACCCCCCTCCTCCCCCCGTCGCCGGGCAATGTGAGGATGAACGGCCACGTGCCCGACTGCGTCCTCGCTCCTGTGATGTCACCTTGCAGAAGAGACGCGACGTGGTGCACCGCTCACCGCGAGCGCGCTGTTGTAACGAAATATTTGAAATGCGTGCGCGGTACAAGCCATTACTTAGCGGGTATAACTCCCGTCACTGTCCATCTCTGTCTCTCTCTCTTTTGTCTCCGGCCCCTGTCACCTGCCTCTCTCTCCGTTTATCTCTCACCTCTACCTGGTCGCCGCGTGCCCCCCCCCCCACCCCACCCCCTCTGACCTCGCCTCCTCCGCTCTCACCTCGCCAATGTAGCTGTACTTGCCGCGCAGGATGGCCCTGAAGAGGCGGCTCTTCGTCTCCTCCTCGAAGGGCATGGTCCCGCTGAGCAGGATGTAAGAGATCACGCCGATGGCCCACATGTCCACCGCCTGCGTAAACGCGCCGCGCCGACTCAGCACCTCGGGGGGCGTGTACTCGGGCGTCCCGCACGCGGTCCGCACGGACGGCCCCAGCCCGTCCCCGTCCTCCTCGTGCCCTCGCCCCTGGCCCTGCCCGTGGCCCTGCCCCGCTCGCACGTTGCCCGCGAGGCCGAAGTCCGTGATGAAGAGGCGCGAGTCCGCGCCCGGGTGATAGTAGAGCAAGTTCTCGGGCCGGAGGTCGCGGTGGGCGATGCCCAGCGCGTGCAGGTAGCGCGCCCCCTCGAGCAGCATGGACAAGGCCCTCGCCGCGTCGCGCTCCGTGAAGGAGCCGCGCGCGAGGATGCGGTCGAAGAGCTCCCCGCCCGTGGCGAGCTCCATCACCAGGTAGGTGCGCGTCGGCGTCTCGAGCACCTCAATGAGTTGCACGACGTTTGGGTGCCGAACCCGGCGCAGCACCGCCAGCTCGCAGGCGCACGCCTCGCGGCCCTCCGTGGCCGACGTCTCCACGAGCTTGATGGCGTAGGGCTGCCTCGAGGAGCGGTGCTCGGCGCGCACCACGCTGCTGAAGCTGCCGCGGCCGATCAGCGCCTTGAGGTCGTACTTGGCGGTGACGCGCGCGTCGAATTTCGCGCGGAATTTGGCCACTTTGCGAGACGAGGGGTCGATGTACTCGCCGCCGATGCCGCCGTCGCCGGCCACCGCCGCCGCCGCTTTGAGCAGACACGGGTCGTCGAACTGCTTGTCCTTGGAGCCCCCCTTGGTTCTGCCCTCCTTGTTGTGCTGCTTCTCGACGCCGCTCGTGGCCGTCTTCACGAAGTCCACGTGGCCACCCTTGGGGCAGTCGGGAAGGATCTTGCTGTGAGCGCATCCCATAGCGGCGGGGGTGCCACTGCTGCCCCCCCCCCTTCCCACCCCCTACCCACACCTCTACCCCCCCGCCCCCCCCCCCTCTTCTCCTCCGCCTCCTGCACGGAGCACCCTTTCCGTTTTACGCAAGGAACGGCGCCCCGACCCCAGCTGGGGACGTCTCCCTGCCGGCCACTCGGCCACTCGGAGCGGGCGCTCTCGGGGTTTGCCCGCTGAGAAGGCTTCGCTGTGCTCGAGGCTGCTCGCCGGCGAGACCCATGGCGTGCGAAGTGGGGTTGGGGGGGGTCTCGTCTCGGCTTCCTCCTCGCAGACCCCCTCGACTCCCGCCCCCTGCCGCAGCAGCCGCCGCCTCCAGACACGCTCCACGCGACGACTCGTCTCCCTGTCGCGCGCGCGAGTGCGCGTGTCTCTCGCTCACCACGGCTGTCTCTGCGTGTGTCTTTTTATCCCTGTGTGTGCGTCTGTCTCTGTGTGTGTCTGTGTCTCTCTCCCTCGCCACTGCTTTCTGTGTGTGTCTCTGTGTGTGCTTGTCTGTGTCTCTCTCCCTCACTCGCCACTGTTTCCCTGTCTCTTGTGTGTGAGTGTCTCTCTCGCTCGCTGTCTGTGTCTCCCAAGATCGGAGGAGGGGATTTAAGGCGAGGAATCCCCGGTGGGAAGCAGCCACGCTCGCCTGCCCCCCCCCCGCCTTCCCCCCCCCCGCCTCTCACGTGCCTGCCCCCCCAACCCCTATCGTGTCGCGATCGTGCCGCATGTAAACACAATCCCTGGCGCGTACCTGGCGCGACGTTGGTTGCGTGACGGAATGCGCGCACGGTCACGCAAAGAACGCGCCGGCCGGAGAGGGGAGGGGCAAGAGGGCGAGGGGGGCGGGGCTCAGAACAATAGAACAACTCCGAAGGGGAGGGGCGGGTTGCATCACCGTAGGCGCTGTCTTGTAATCATCACGATCGTCGTTGTGATCAACATCGTAATGATCATCGTCATCATGGATCCCCCACCCACCATTGGTTTTCTTTTCGTTTTTTACGATCAGAGGAAACAAAAAGATGCTCGGTGTAGTCGGCACTTTGCTTCGTTCATCATTTAGTTTTTTTTTATGCTTTGCTTTATTTAAACCTCTCCCCCCCCCCTCTTTTTTAAATGAAAGATTCCACAATAGATTTCACTCTATGCTATCCTTACCCATTCCCTCTCTCTCTACCCCCCCTCTCTCTACCCCTCTCTCTACCCCCGCCCCTCTCTCTACCCCCTCTCTCCCTACTCCATGTCTATCGTCTTCATTGATCTTGCCGCATCTCCCCGTTCTTCCATGTTGCTCTCGAAACTCAACCCTCACCCTCACCACAATCCCCACCCCTCACCCGCTCGACCGCAGCTCACCACAATCCCCATCCCCTGGCTGGCTCGCCAGCGGAAAAGGCAGCCCAGCAACGCGTGGACTAATCTCCATCTGTTTCCATCTGTAAAGGATGCAGTGGTCGCCCCCCCTCGCTCCGCGTGGTTTTTCTCCGCGCTCCGGGTTCTTCCCACGTGTATAATACTACTACTAATAAGCGCAACTCACCCAATGGCTTAGCACAACATTACAAACACAATACAGAACCCTCCTGAACGTGAGTCCTTGCGCTCGTTGTAGCTTCCCTGGATAGATAAATAAAGACCGATTTCATATTATTAATTTGTAACAGACACGCCTTTCGTTGATTGAAATAATGAGAGGCCAGGGAAACCAAAGGCAATCGGGAAGGTTAACCAGACCCGACGCGACCAACAATTGCCCAAGTTCTGTGATCCTACATTAGGGATGGTCGGCCAACTCCAAAAGATGAGTCTTGAATCTCAGTTAGGCTTTGCGAGGTACATGTGGTTTGTTGCTGCAGAACACCGCGTTATTGAAAAATCTCGTTATAACGAAACAATAAATAATATAGGGTCAGAGCACAGTCCGCGCTAACACGTGAGATGCGCACGCAGGCTGAACAAAGCCTCAGGCGCGTGGGTAGCGTCTAGAAGCATCCAGCAGCATCCCACTGCCTTGTGCGATGCTACGCAGAGACAGCCCTACCACCGCATATTGCTACTCGCGCGGCGTAGTTCTGTCCACACTCAATCGCGTTATATCCAATTCGCATCCGCGTTATAAAAAAACAATGTGTTCCCTCATGCATTCACCACGTTATATCTAATTCGCGTTGTGAAAACACGCGGCGTTATGGGAGAACTCACTGTAATTGGCGTTATAATAATCGTGTTTAAAATTTTAGGAGAGTCATGCAAACAATGCTTAAAAAGCCATGCTATCTCCTAGTCCACAAAGAGGTTGGTTCTCGTTGAGGTGAGGCGGATTTGTATAGACGGGACCGAGGGAATGTCGATACGCACTAACTGTGCGCCCGTCTGCGGAGAGATGGTCATAGGCGGGACGATTGAACACATTCCTGCGGAGGGAGCTGGTAGGAACGTTGGATTGCTCGGTCAATGGCCAGGGTCAATGGCGGCGTGGTGTTCTAAACGCATGAATGTTGATTCTAAATGTGGAGGGAAACCCAGGAAGAGCTGGAGATAAATCAGCGCGACCATAGGGAGAGCGAGAGAGACACGCAAACTCCAAATATATAGCAGCAGGCGTCGGGGTCAGGATCGAACCCACGACCTCCTGTATACCAGGCGAGGGAGTTAACATCTCCTAGCCACCGTGATGATGAGAGAGAGACACGCAGACTCCAAATATACAGCAGGCGTCGGGGTCAGGATCGAACCCACGACCTCCTGTATACCAGGCGAGGTAGTTAACATCTCCTAGCCATCGTGATGATGAGAGAGAGACACGCAGACTCCAAATATACAGCAGCAGGCGTCGGGGTCAGGATCGAACCCACGACCTCCTGTAGACCAGGCGAGGTAGTTAACATCTCTTAGCCACCGTGATGATGAGAGAGAGACACGCAGACTCCAAATATACAGCAGCAGGCGTCGGGGTCAGGATCGAACCCACGACCTCCTGTAGACCAGGCGAGGTAGTTAACATCCCCTAGCCACCGTGATGATGAGAGAGAGACACGCAAACTCCAAATATACAGCAGGCGTCGGGGTCAGGATCGAACCCACGACCTCCTGTATACCAGGCGAGGGAGTTAACATCTCCTAGCCACCGTGATGATGAGAGAGAGACACGCAGACTCCAAATATACAGTAGGCGTCGGGGTCAGGATCGAACCCACGACCTCCTGTAGACCAGGCGAGGGAGTTAACATCTCATAGCCACCGCGGTTGAATCGGGGACAAGATGAAGCAGCGTCGTGCAGAGGGTGTCAGCTGCCTCGCCTGTCTCCAGGAGGTGATTGGTTGAGCTATTGTTTGTGGCCAATTCGCTTCTGAAAAATAAGCTATACATCTCAGTGGTCCTTACCTGGTAAAATGTTTTTTTTATTGGTTAGGGGCCGTCCATAAATGACGTCACGCACGTGGAGGGGGGGGGGGGGTCAGACATTTGTGACGATGTGTGACGAGGGGGGGGGGGGGTGAGAAATGTGACGTCACATAAAAATGTGCAACTTTAAATAAACATAGAATTCTTCTAACAACACTAATTGTTATAGCAACACTCCTACAACATCAGAGCGCAGCGCCACATTAAATACGCACGACAATGACAATAGTTTAAAGCGATTTGAAGCATGTTTTATGGTTTTGGGGGGGAGGGGGCAGAGCTCTGTGACGTCACATTTGAGGGGGAGGGGGTCTGACTTTTTGTGACGCCGTGTGACTAGGGGGGGGGGAGGGGGTCAAAAATGGTCCAAAGTCGAGGTAACGTCATTTATGGACGGCCCCTTAACAGTTCTGTAGTTGTGCTCAGCAGAGGCCAACGTGATGATCATGATCGTGCCGCCGGGGTGCGAACTGAAATCCCTCCGCCTGCCAATAGGCGTCTCTCGCGAGCAGACCGGCTGCCGAGGCTTCATGCCGAAGGGGCCGTCCATAAATGACGTCACGCGATTTTGGACGATTTTTTACCCCCCCCCCCCCTTCGTCACACGGCGTCACAAAACGTCAGCCCCCCCCCCCCCTCAAATATGACGTCACAAAGCTCTGCCCCCCCCCCCCAAATAAAGCATAAAACATGCTTCAAATAGCTTTAAACTATTGTCATTGTAGTGCGTATTTAATGTGGCGCTGCACTCTGATATTGTAGGAGAAAACATTTATTAAAAAGTCTATTTAATTAGGTAGAACGTGTTGTCTATATTTATTTAAAGTTGCGCAATTTGATGTGACGTCACATTTCTTAACCCCCCCCCCAGATGCGTGACGTCATTTATGGACGGCCCCTTACCGGTTAATATCTGGGTTAACTCTCTAACGCACCGGTGTGCTGTACTAGTAACGAATTGGGCATGATTTGCTCACGTGACAACCCTTACTAATTGGCTGTGACGGGTGGTGGCGGGTTTAACGACGCATTTATATTCAAACCGACTCCGTGAAGACGGTGAACACGCGGCCACGGCTGGAGACTGCCAGGTGGGGGGAGGGGTGGGGGGGCCTTGCCTCCGCGTGGGGAGGGAACGAGAGGGGGGGGGGGATGACACCGCGAAGTTCGCCAACGCAGGCGGGCTCACCACCCCACGTGCTGCTGCTGCTGGCTGCGCCGTCATTGCGTCCCAGCCACGTGGGTTTTTGAGAGCTGCACTAAGTCTCTGCGTGATCCACCAACCCTTGGGGGGGAGGCGGCGTTGTGTGTGGGGTGTCTCACGACAACTCTAGCAACGTTCACGTGCCGGGGCCCCGCAGTGCCACACTGTAAGTACAGTTCGCAACAGATGAAGGGGCAAGTTAGGAGGTGAGGGGGGGTTAGAGGGGGAGAGGAGGGGCCACCCCCCTCCCCCTCCCGCATTGTCCCCCGTGAGCCCTGCTCTCGTATTGCCAGACCAGATGAATACAAACCTTCGTGCTCAAGAAATAACAGGCCGATAAACTTAAAAAACTAAACTATTTTTATTTTACAAGGTAGGGCTCACTGAGCTCCAGGGCGATTTTTCAGAAGCGACCTGACCGCAAATGATGTCTCAACAAAGTGGCTGATCGCGTGGAAATTTCTCGCAGGAAAATATTCGAGACGCCTGACGTTGATTCGAAATGTGGAGGGGAAAAACCGGAGGAATCGGAGAAAAATCCACGCGGCCGTGGGGAGAGAAACATCACAAACTACAAATATACAGCGGGCGTCAGGGTCGGGATCGAACCCACGCTGTTCAAAACCACCGTCACCTGTACACCAGGCGGGGTAGTTAACGTCTCACCACCGCGGCGCCCGATATATTCAGGGAAATATATACATATATACGTTATGTGTTTCTACCCTGGCTCGCCAGGAGAAGGCGGTCCACCAAAACTGTGGACTCCATCTGTTCCGTTTACACGTGATATAGTGTTTCCCCCTCGCACGGACGTATGGGTTTTCTCCGGATGCTCCGGCTTTCTACCGCACGTATAAGCTCTCAGTCATTTACCGATGACACCTCAATATATAGAGGGCCGCAGAGCTTGGAGGGACAATTGTTGGTGTCGCCAGGTCATATTTTTTTCTGTTTGTGCATAGTCACTTTAAGATGTTTTCTTGTTCATGTTTTTGTTTTTTGTTTGTTGCGGTTGCACCCATTTCAAAAGCCGAATGGCTCACAGGGCTATACCAAATAAATGAAACTGAAACTGAAAACTATTTAGAGTATGTTGTTGCTATAAATTTCCACGTGATGGTAAGCCACTTCGTTGAGCTATAATTTGTGGCCAGGTCGCTTCTGAAAAAGAAGCTAATGGTCCAGTGAACTTTACCTGGTAAGATAAAAGTTCTAGTTTCGTTGTAGTTGTATATTTATAAGTGATGTTCTTATCTTTCCGATACTTTGCACAGCTATCGAGTGTTTGCATTGTTTGCTGTTGCGCCGTGCTGACCTGCCCCGACTGGACATCTCACAATAACTTAAATTATTGTTAATAAAGAGCCTTGTAGCTCATCGGATTTCTCCAGTGTAAATACAGATTCTGATTCATCGCGACGCTGCTGCTGATGACTTTCCATTCGTCTGTGGTTGCCGAGTCGTCCTCTCTCTCTCTCTCATCACTGCGGGAGTGAGCGAACAATCTGCCGCGGTGGTGGCGTGTTACACATTGACACGACGATCATTAGAGACGAGAAGTTGCGGATTGTTACTCTTGGTGTCATTCGTTTGTTGGTGGTTGTCTCGAGACTGGTCAGGCCGCTCAGGAGGCAGAAGGCATTTGCTTCGGATATTCTCTTGCGGAGTGCGGAACAACGTGGAACGAACGATAAGTCAGCACGAGTCAGTAACACCAGCTGGGTATGGCCTTGAAATGAATGCATGCGACGTTTCGGGCAATAGCCCTTCTGCAGTTTGTGTTGCTGCGCTCGCAGCAGCATCGCCAGATTGTGATCGAGGCGCGTTGCGATGCATTGCTTCATCGATTAGCGTCGATCATTATTCGGCTCATCGATAAGCAAGAATGGGTGAACTATTTATGCAAGTCATATGTAAATGAGACGTACATTGGCTTTCCAGAGGAATCTTGGATATCCAATGAGCCCCATGGCATGAATCGCATGTCCGTCGTGCAGTACCAAGCTCTGTACGTGAGACGCAGGGGACGACAAGGCCAGCGTTTTGCTCGTATCTCTCTGCTCGTACCGATAAAACATGTGCTCTGAAGAAGGACCGTTGCCCGAAACGTCACCCATTATATTTGTTCCCCCCATTGATGGACGTGTTGGAGTTAAACACAAAAAATGAGACTGAGTGTGTCAAGATCTAGAGGCAAAAAAAAAAAACCTCTGATGTGACAAAACACCTGCCCGGCC